GGAGGGCGCTGGTTGGATGGAGGGCGGGAGGAGGGCGCTGGGCGGGTGGAGGGCGCTGGTTGGATGGAGGGCGGGAGGAGGGCGCTGGGCGGGTGGAGGGCGCTGGTTGGATGGAGGGCGGGAGGAGGGCGCTGGGCGGGTGGAGGGCGCTGGTTGGATGGAGGGCGGGAGGAGGGCGCTGGGCGGGTGGAGGGCGCTGGTTGGATGGAGGGCGGGAGGAGGGCGCTGGGCGGGTGGAGGGCGCTGGTTGGATGGAGGGCGGGAGGAGGGCGCTGGGCGGGTGGAGGGCGCTGGTTGGATGGAGGGCGGGAGGAGGGCGCTGGGCGGGTGGAGGGCGCTGGTTGGATGGAGGGCGGGAGGAGGGCGCTGGGCGGGTGGAGGGCGCTGGTTGGATGGAGGGCGGGAGGAGGGCGCTGGGCGGGTGGAGGGCGCTGGTTGGATGGAGGGCGGGAGGAGGGCGCAGGCCGTTCGTGCTGTTAGGCGCTGGGGGCCGCGTAGGGGACTTCAGAGCCTGTAGGGGTTGGAGTGGCAGCTCCTACCCACAAACTGTTGCCTTGGAACAGATTTTGTGTTTGTTACAATAATGGGTTTGTCACAATATGTTCTATCGGGTAAGAGTTTTGTGGATGTTCCTTTTGCCTGAACTGTGCACATCAGAATATCCAAATGAGCAGATCCTCTGCGTCGCTGGGCTCGGCGTCCTGTGTGTATGAGGGGTGAGGGGTTGCCAGATAAAATATAGGACACCATGTGTTCATAAACAATGAATACGTTTTAGTATTTGTTGTTTTCCTAAATTTCAGTGTTTTTTGCTTTAAAGATTTACAAAAAATCCTGCAGTACTTGAAATACTCAAAGAGCAGTTGCTGTTAGGATGAGTTTTCAAATCGCCTGCTCTGCTGATGTGTTGACGTTCAATGATTTTGCCATAAGTGGATATATTCCTGTTAAGGCAGATCTGTGTTCAAGATAAATTTAATCCTAAAATCTTGACTCTGTAGATTGTTGATGAAAGTATGGAATTCACAGTTTAATATATTTTATTTATATATTTTTTTAGCTTAATATATTTTAAAGTTGTTAAATATGTCTTAGGTGTCTCAAGTTAATTTGAATTCAGTCGATGCTATAAACTACAGACTTTTTGGATGGATACAAATCGAGTTTTTTTTTCTTCTGAATTTGGTATCCTTGGGGATGGAACAGGTGGCTGTTGACAAAATATATTCCATCTGTATTATTTTCAGAATTCAGAATTTGAATTTGGTATGTGTTCAGCACTTTCATTGTTCTGCTCTTACCTTTCATGTAAATGGCTCTTTTTCAAAATTTTTAGTTGCAGTGTTGCGCGAGTGTGGTTTCAAAGATGGGAGGTGCTGTGAGTGCCGGCGAAGACAACGATGAGCTGATAGACAATTTGAAGGAAGCGCAGTACATCCGGACTGAGCTGGTGGAGCAGGCCTTCCGAGCGATCGACCGTGCAGATTATTATCTTGAAGAATTTAAAGAAAATGCTTATAAAGACTTGGCGTGGAAGCATGGAAACATCCACCTGTCCGCTCCATGCATCTACTCGGAGGTGATGGAAGCCCTGGACCTGCAGCCTGGGCTCTCCTTCCTGAACCTGGGCAGTGGCACCGGCTACCTTAGCTCCATGGTGGGGCTCATTTTAGGTAATCTGGAGAGTTTGCAGGACAAAAGAGGCAGCTGGCAGTGTCCTTCGCAGGGACCTGACTACCCTCAGCCTTCCGAGGGTTACCTGGTATCATTTACCAATCGTCACTGGGTGGGGTGGTGAAGGAGGGCCCTAGGGACCCCCTCCTGTTCCCTGTCCCTTCCCACCTGTACCTCCAGCAGGTGTGCAGCACACCCTCCTCCTGGACCTTACCTGAGTTCGTGACTCATACCTCCTTCAGCCTGCCCTGTTTCTCTCTAAATTGAGAATAATTAACTCTAAAGTCCCCAGGGGTTTAAAGTTCTCTCAAATAGTTTTTGTTTTGTGATTTGAAAACTAGAAGAATTAATACCTGTAAGGTTATTTTTAGGTGAATTCCAGGATGAGAGGGATTTCACAAGTTATTTGTAGCCATTTAGCAACAACAGTATCAGTTAACTGAGGATTCATTTAATTCCTACCTTGTGTAAAATGTGATAGTGGGGGAAGGTGTAGTAACAACTTTCATGGCCAGAAGCTTGTCTGGAAAAAAAAAAATTATTGCGCCAGAAACAGGACCTGGTCCTGGGCTTCCTGTCCAAACACTGGCAGCCTCGCAGGATAGAAAAGGCAACCTGTCCCTTGCTGGGATTGCCCAGGCCCTTGTGTTACAGTGAGTCTGGAGAACAAAGATGTCATTTGTTGTGAAAGAAGTCACTTTGGATATAGAAACGGAGGCACTGGGCAGGTGTGAAGTGTGGAGCTTGGAGAACTAGTACATATGCATCCACTTCCCTGTGAGCACACCCAGAGCAAGATGCAGAGTTGTTGGGGCCCGAGACCCCCCCCCCCCACACACCCTGCCCCATCCA